AGAGAGAGAGAGAGAGAGAGAGAGAGAGAGAGAGAGAGAGAGAGAGAATTTCTTTGTGCTCTAAGAGGAAATTTTATGTGGCATGTACTTTTATGCGATCTTGTATTCTGCCAATTTCTCATCAGGTATAATCACAGACAAAACAGTCAAGAGAAAATATGGCTTAAATTTATTTGTGAACAAGATGGTCAAAATATGTAAGACATATTCTGGATGTTTATTAAAACAATGACACAAAATTGCACCTTCGATTTTATCTGTTATTTTAGTTATACTTGATGCATTTCTGTCATTTTCTGAATAAGTGTTTGATAAAAGTCAGGTCAAAATATTATAATCCAAAGACACTTAGTCATTCAGCCTCATCCAATTTAACGACAGCTTTCTTCAGAGCATCTCTTCAATGAAAATATAAATTTAAATGATAGTAGGTTTCACAGCATCTACCATTGTAAAAATCAAGTGAAAACTGTGTAACTCCTATGACTCACCTTCACCAAGACACCAATGATCGCTATCCCATCAGCCTTTGAGATGGCTTCAGCGGCACTAGAGTACTTTGCTGAATTCCAGTGAACTATGTGAAGCTAGAAGGGGTGACATGTAAATAATTCACTATTAATATTGTTGCAAAGGAAGAGACAGAAGATGAATTATATGTTAATGTGTTATATTTAAGATATTTCATGGTAGTGGTAGACAAACTCCATGTGAACTCTCATCTTGTGGGCAACTAGCTTTAGGATAAAAGGTGAAATAATTTTCTCTTCCATGAGAGAACTTTGTAAGAAGATCCTTGACTGCTTGGAAGTTTGGGCATATCAGTGTTTTTCCCAGGATCCCCTCAGTCAAATTCTGCAGTCTAAACTCTTGGTGAAATTTTAGGCTCATACATGCATGTGTGCCTGGATGTGTTTCTGATATTGTCTTTATATCTCCATATGATATCTAACAGATGTCTGAGGAGTCATATGGCTAAGAAAAACCTTGATTCCTCATATTACATCTGTCATTTTCTCCTCTTAGGAAAGGTAATACTGTTCTCCTAACCACTCAAGCAAAAACTACCACAGCTATAAAAAAAAATCTCATGCTTTACACATTTATCAGCCTCCATGCCTAGCAGAGTATACTTCTTCACTTGGTCATTGCTTGGTTTTTTTTTTTTTTTATTAACTGCTGAACTTTCTTTGTTTCTACAGTTAGGACTGAACTCAAATACAACACCTCAATGAGTCGATTATCCAATATAAAGTTATGGCCACCATAACTCAAATCTTTTGTTTTCATGCTTTTATCAGATCTCTTCTTTCTCTCTACCCCCTCTCTTTCCTTCTTAACTTAACTCACTTTTTAAAAAGACTTTTTATTTCCCTATAAAATGAGGATTCTTCTTAGTTACTTTAACAACAAAAATTTAGTATACTATAAAAACTCAATAAATAGTTGATAAATAGAGTAATTAGAACACGAATGTTGAGGACAATCACTCAGAACAGTCCTAGTTCACGTGTCGTCTCATTATCGTTTATACTCCCTGCTCACTGACAACTCTCTGTGTGCACTCACATTGCCATTTAGTAGTGTTTACTTCATTCCCACCATCGGCTCATGTGTTATCTCCTCTACAGAACTACAGGTAATGTTACTGATCACTTATGATGTGGAAGCTGGCTTGAGTACATAAGGAGATTGATGCTATAGTACTTAACTATAGAAGAGAAGAGTCACATAGCCAATATGGCCCAGCTTTGACTCCATGAAGGTCAAGAGAGGACCTTGCACATGTCACACATTACCCTATATCACCTGGTATGTCCTCCACACAAGTTTTCAAGCTGTATATTAAATAACATGTTGAACTTTGTGACTAAATGCTTCTCATCATTGGCTTAGATTATTTTTCTCAATTTATTTGAGTGAATATAATCCCTGATTTAGATGCCATTAATATTTACAGGTATCCTTCCTAAAGCCTAATATTTTAGACTTCTATTCTACTTTAGTCCACCTTCAGTTTTGCAGAAGGGAAACTAGGAATGAGTTTTTATAGCCTTCTGAAACACTGAAAGTTATTATATAAAAATTATAAAATAAAACAAGTTAATGCTGTCTTCAATCCCCTAGCACCTAATTCTATCACAATAAACTGCATATATTTTAAAACATCTTCTGTGAGAAATTTCTCTTACATAGTTACTTCAATAGGTATCTCAGATAAAGGCATAATGTATTCATTGAAGGATTATCTGATAAAAACAACAGCAACAAAATTCATTGGAATATAATAACAAGCAGATATTGTAATTATCTATCAAGAAGGCTAGTTAAATAAATTCTGATATTTATATAATTGAAATACTGAGCAGTTATTTTTAAAAGAGAAAAAATTAAACCCCTTCTGACTTATAAAATAATGATAATACACTGGAAACTGGGGAAAAATTTCAAAATCATATGCATTATAGAGTTCATTTTAGCAAATTAAAACTAAAATGGAATCATACTTATGTACACACACTATATATTCATATAAATAGTGAAGATTTTTATCCTTTTTTCTCCCTAAAAGTAAAACAGTTGTGTTTGATGATGCGTATCCAGGTTTTCAAAGGAAATAGAGATATAACATCTAGAAATTGTTCACAAATTTCCATAGGAGGAAGGATCAAGAGGTGGCATTGTGACCTCTAAACAGGGACTCATAGAACCTTGTCCATGTGTGGGCTCCTCTTTTCAACCATTAACTCTATGATTAAAGTCCAGTGCTTTTTTTTTACTGTGTTATTTCACTGTTCCTGCCTGGACAAGTACATGATACTGGTGTGTCCAAATTTGAGAAGTTAAGTAAAAGCAACATGTAAAAGTAAAAAGTAAAAGTAAAATGTTCAGTTCAGTCAGGGACTTTGATGTTGATAATATGTCAATTTTTTTAGCTATCTTTTTTTTTATTGAGCTCTACATTTTTCTCTGCTCCCCTCCCTGCCTCTTCCCTCTCCCTTTCACCCTCCCCCAAGATGTCAATATTTTTCATGAACTCTTACCTATATGTTTGGGCATTTCTTTAGATAAATATATAAAATATCCCTTTATTGCAGTATATAGTGTGCCAGTGTTTGATTTTAATGGATTTATATGCATCTGTCCTACAAAGACCAGCAAGCTCTCCTCTTTGATGTATTCTGATAGTAGCTTTTCTAATTCATTCAGATATGTTTTGGAGGCATGCTCATGAGCTGTCTCTCATTAATATATCACATTACCTCTGCAGAATATTTGACTCCATCCACGGTATGCTCAGATCCATGGTCGTTGGAATTGCCCCAGTGAAAATGGAACTGGATGAGCCGATAGGTATCAGAGAGAGGGCCCCCTTTCAGAACTAGAAAGAAAGAGAGATACTCTCAGCCAGGTAATCTCTGGTTCATATTTAATATAAATCAGTGCTACTTTATGTTGTGTGAAATAGAAACAAACACCAGTGGGTGTCAACATTTTATTTTCATTGTGTTTCCACTCCACAACCCTGAGGATGACACTAATATATAGTGCCTTCCTGATTATGGCAGCAACGATATAGCTCATGAAATATTTACAAGTTACAGCAAAGTTTACATATTTATGTTGCCAAGATGATATATTTCAAGGTGAATAAATGATATGATCACAGAGTTTTCTTTGATCTCCATTAATTTACAAGGATACTTCTTCATTCAACCTTACTGTGTAGCTAGTAAGTACAATTTCTATTAACTAAAAATTCACTGTCACTTGCTTTTTTAAAAACAATTATTGAAGATATAACAATGTAGTTTGACTAATTTGTTGAGACCCTATGGCCAGGGACCAAGAGATACTTACTGCTTGTGGGGCAAGATCACTTTTTAAACATTTTCTCCGAATGACAATCCAGCCTGGTGAATCTGTCCAATCATGTGATTACCTAAGCAAAATACCCTCTAGACCTAACCTATTATTAATAAGGGGCACACCCCTAAGGTAGCTAACATTTCAAATTAGAATTTGGTGGGAAACTAGGGTAAGAATGGCATTCATGTCACTGGAACTCTTATAGAACAATCCGTTAAGAGCTTATTCAATAAATACTGATGAAAAGTCAACCATGTGGCAAGTAACATGCCAGATTCTCAGAAATGATGGGAACTCGCGCACCACCTGACTTCTTATTAAGTTCATCCACTCTCATCCTGTTTAGGATATTTCCTTTATGGCTTCATGTTTATTGTGATTTTCATACTAGACTCTTTTGGAAAAAAGTTGTCTCTTTACAGAAATAATGATGAAGATCCTGGAACAGCCAGAAAAGGAGAGATGGCTCATTAGGAAATAGAAGGATTGCAAGAAGAGCTGGCAGCTCTGCGAGCCGTCTTCCAGGAGGCCACAAAGCCTCCCAGTCGTTGCAATTGTAAGTAAGGTAAGGAATACAGTACACAATACACAGGACGCTGTGCTGCTTCTGAAGCTACTCTGACTCTTGCCTGCTCTTGAGACTGTTTCTCCTATTGGGTTGCCTTATTCAGTCTCAATACGAGTGCCTTGGCATTTTTTTTGTATCCTCTTTTGTTTTGTTTACCTGTTGTCTCTTAGACATGCTCTTTTCTGAAGGGAAGTGGAAAAGTATCTCTGCAGGAGAAGGGATGTGGGGAGGATCTGGGAAGAGTGGAGGGAGGCAAAACTGTGGTTGGAATGTATTATATGAGAGAAGAATCTGTTTTCAACAGAAAATACATTTAGTAGACTCTAAGGAAACAAGTATCAAAAATGTCTTTATGCTCACCAGACTGGCTACCGCTGTCATCAAAAACTACATGGAAGGAATGTCCCACGTTAACAATTTCTTTGGCAGTTGCAGGATTATAGGAGACACTGATAGGTTTCAGAGAGGTGTCATGTTTGACATCACTGGTTTTGATATCAACTGGAGACTGGTTGTTTCCATTGGCAATGGGATACAGCTTGCTCCATTGGTCCGGACCTATGGGAACAAACATGTCCATGTAGCTACAATTTTACAGAATGCTTCATTCCAAGTATCAGGACTTCAACTATTTCCTTGTTAGATTATGATTTAGTCAGGTCTCTTAAATGGCATTCAGTATTTGAAAATGTACTTTTCATTACTATACTAAAAAACAGTATATTTGGCAATATCATCAATACAGGCCTAATTACACTATCTGTACAGTTATAGTATAGAAATAGTATGCACATACCAAATATATTTTTGTAGATCTTTATGCCCAAAGGCCAACTACTAACACTACATACAATGATATTGTAATTATTCAAAAGTGCATCAAGTCATTAACCTGTGACTGTACAGTTAAGTTAAATGATTATTAAATTTAACAGTAGAAGTGGGAATAAAGTGTTATTTTGACAAATACAAAAGAAGTGCTCCTACCGTTTTTGGCATCATATCCCCAGTCTGCACTTGCCATGATCTCCTGTTTGGTTTTGGTTCCTGAAGAAAGAAATGATATGCAGAATAACCAACCGCTCCTGTGACCGCAGCGGAGATCTTCAGTGACACCAGGGTTTTTATAGAAATGTGTCTGCCTATAATAGTCCACTATTTCATAATCTCTGCTTATCAGGAAGTATACATATCAAAATAAATGGTACTGTAAAAAATGTCTCTCAGGATTAGGTCAGCTCTAATTGTTTTATTGCATTATAAAAATTAAATATCAAAATCATAGATGTTATTATTAAACTAGTCTTGTTCTCCTATGCTTGTAGAAGACATGGCTGAATATTGACTGATGTTTATCAAATTTTCTAGAATAAAAAGTACTTTGTGCCCTTAGGATTTCTAGTGATGCCATAACTGGTTAACTAAACAATGTTAGCAACAGTAATTTAATAAGGAAATGAATGTGCATCATGGTTTTAATTTAGAATCAGGTAACAGAACCCATAATTAATTATCTATAACATAATATTATTCATAATGACACATTTTATAGAAACACAAATAAACTTTCTAGATGAATTACAAAGAATGTGTCAATGTGAGACATTCTTCCTACATGAACTTTTAGGACAATAATAACCATTCAGGTTAGAAAAGGTCCTTCGTTCTGGAGACATGTTGAAATTCATAAGTGGGTATGATTTTATTAATATCAAAGCAGAACATGGTATAATAGCTTTCCACCTAAAATAAAATATGCCATCTTTATAGTTATCTGCAATTTATTATCTCTTTAATATTGTTTTATTATAGCACATATAAATTCTATAAAGTAGGAATGACCATTTTGTAGCTGAGGGATGTTGAAGGAATTCATCACAACTAACAAGATGTCTGAACCTCAGACTTTATAGTTCAGTTGCCTCCTTCATTCCACCACTATATGTGTTGCCCTGGGCGAAGTGTGGGTTAATGACAATTCTGCTTCTGGGTTCACAGTGCTCATAGATCAATCTGAGTATACACCATCGTGAGAACTCACCTTGTTCACTCACTCACACACTGTTTAGTGATGAGAAGCAGCAGAAACTTTCCAGAGAGACACAGAAAGCTGCCTGGGATGTGTCAGAATATGGATAAGCCATTTAAAGTCTGCAAATATTATTGTTTGGAAGTAAAAACAGAACCAAAAACTTCTGACATAATGAGTACCTTTCTTCCCTTTGCTGCAGAACTGTCTGCACTGCCATGAACCACGAAGGAAGATGGGCAACAGGCATGCTTAGCTAGGGGCACCATTCATGCTGTTGTTCTTTAATACTGATGACTGTATCCTTCCTCAGGAGGAATCTGGCCAGCCGCTGGTAAGTATCTAGAGCATGAGGAGGCTAAAGTTCCCACCCTAGGATCTTAGTAAGCATTAGGAAGCCCAGCTTGAAAGGAAACTTAATTTTATTTAAATAACATTTTTTTTAATTTGATGGTGCTCCGTGGAGTTTTCACATACAACATCATCTTGAAGAGCACATGTGCATTATAAAACATTAAATTCAATTAATAGTCACATTACTTTGAGTTGATTTTGTGACAATAGTACCTAATGTCCACTCTCTTCATTTAAAAGAATACAATCCATTACCATCAACTATAGTTAACTTACTCTACAATTCCTGTCTAATTGTAATTACTATCCCTTAGTCATCTCCTTAAATCTTACATTGAATTACTATATGAAACAATGCATTTGGAAGGAACAACATTCTTGCATTATTGCATGATGATTCACTATAGGAATGGCTTATATGGTATGGTAATATATTTAAAGTTTTAGGGGCAACTTCCTTGACTCCTACCTTCATGACCCTTTATTTTATGATGTACTCAGGGCATATTCAAGTATTCCCACAAAGAAAGAATTAGAGGGAGAGTTGTAAAATTTCATGAGGGTCCAACCCTAACATGGCTCTCACTTACTTCTATTCAATATTTTCTTTTCATAAACTGACTCTCTCATTTTTATGTCTAAGCTAAAGGAATGGTGTTTAATATTTTTTATCCATTGGACTTTGACTCATAGACCTCTTCCACTGTACTTCCCAAAGATTATAACATTTGCATTGCTTTTACTCCTAAGAAGATGCTCAAACTATACAGGCTCTTCTAAACAGCTTATTTCTTGAAACCATCAAATGTATAAATGGAAAAAAGCTTTGTGCTTTTACTGATAAACTGTTTTGAAGGAAGCCATATACTCCTGAAACTTCATCATAAATCACCAATGTTAATAGAATCATTATGAATTTCAACATATCTCCAGAATGAAGGACCTTTTCCAACCTGAATGGTTATTATTGACTGGTCCACTACCTGCTACTACGACAAAAGAATTAGAAGAATTAAGTTAGAAAATAAACAAAGTTTATTTGAGCTCATTGTGCTGGAGGTCTCAGTCCCAGCTCATTTGATCTGATGAGCTGTGTCATGGGTAGAGCGCATGGTAAGCAAATGTCTCACTTAGGAGGCAGAGATCCAGTGGTGTTCTGCAGTCCTCCTCTATGCTGTGCCCCCAATGAGTGGTTAGTGTTTCCTGAGGCCAAACCTCTTAAGGATTTGTCCTCCCTCTCAATAGGTGCCTCTCTGAGGACCAAACTTTGATGCATGGACTTTTGGGGGGGTGTTTAATATCCAAAGTAACAGACATGGTTTTCCCTGAAATGGCACATACATTTCCAAAATCAAGGACTATTAAGTTTGACATTAATCTCACAATACTCCCTAAATTTCATGTCCTTGCATAAATTATATTTTTGGTGTTGTTGTGACAAGATCAGTCTTATTTTGAGTGAATAATTTAGTCATAGAACATGGTAATATTAGCCAGGACATTTCTACATTAAGATAGATAAAACTATGAGAAACCAATTTAAATGGCTTATCTGAATTTTATACATACCACTTCCACCATATTGATCTTTCTCTTCACTTACATTGAAGACATGTGGGAAACTTTGTTCCTCCAGTGTCCATCTCAGGGCTTTGCTCCTGTGGACCTGCTTCCTGGAGTCAGAACTTGCTAAGGCTCATCACTCCCCTCTCACACTTCCAAACCCTCCACTGTGTCTCTACACTCTCAGTCTCTCTGCTATACCAGTCTATATCATTTAGTTTATAACCTTGGTTACATCAGAAATTATTTTGGTCACATCATGAAATTATCAGATTCACTATAATTTCAGATTTTGGAGCAGGATTCGTTTCAGATCAATGATATTCACCTCATATATGAGAAAATGCTCCAAACTAAATACCACAAGTTAATCCAAAATTTTAGGGATGGAGAGGGAGGAGGAGGGGGAAGGGGGGAGTGGGAGGGTGTTCGGAGGAGGGGCGGAAATGGAAACTTTCATAATTTAATAAACAAAACAAAAAAAAGAAGGTGAACTCATGACCACATTTGAACTGAGCAGAAAGAATCTTTCCTTCACACTTCTATTAATGGGCTGGTGAAGTGACCAACTGCTTCTGTCAATCATTTCTGGGAGTGTGAAAACTTTGGTTCTTAGAAGTGTCAAATACTTTGACACGTTGTGTGTCAAAATTTAACTGTTCAATTTTTATATGAATTTTTTTGTGCTAAATTGAAAAAAATTCCTGGATTCTTAAGGCTACTATTGCTATGATTAGGGACAGTTTTTAACTCCCCCCGCCACACTCATATGTCTTAGAGCATATTACCCTTGAAGGCAAATTTTAAATCTGGCAATGAACTTTTAAAAATCAGTAACCAACTCAGCTCTACACAAATAATGACTTTAATTCACAGTTTCAGGGAATTTATAGCGTCTTGTAATTTGACATGTTTGTAAAACATTAAATTGCAAACATATTTAGTAACTTTCTTATCTACTAAAAATAACCCAGCTGGAAAATCCTTCTGAGAATAGGAATGTATAAATATTTATTAAGATAATAGTCTATACTGCCTTCTTTGATGATTGGAATACCCTCATATTTATCTTTAAAGCTGAGGAATATTATTTGTATCTTACCTTCTATAGCTGATTAAGGAAGGTGCTCCCCTCAACCAAATGACCTAAACAAGAAACATTTTCACATGAAAGCAAGGTATGTACATTACTTCATAAGCCATAAAATGAATTTAAATCCAAATGAGGGCTTGAGAACAGAGTTTGATTTTAACCCCCAGGCAAATAGACAATTACATAAAGCAAGAGAGTCGAAATGATTGCATGTGGCCTCAAATCCAAACAATTGCATAACAGATCTGCTCACCACAGCTTAAACTAAATACCACAAGTTAATCTAAAAGGAGATAAGTTTTCAAGTGTAAATATCAAGGAAGGTGAAGGACATTTTTATCAGTGATCTTGTGAAAATCTTTCATGTACCTTTTTGAGGTTTCCATCTAAAATCATCTTGAAATTAGAAGAAAAAGCTCTGCTGTCCCCCATTGCCTTTATTAACTCCAAAACTTTTTTTATTCTATCATAGTAGATTTCTAAAATGCATTTGCAGTTAAATATGTCCTTTCTTAAATCCCATGTTTCTTAATGCATTATTTACAGAAGACATGTCTTGGATTGACCTGGTAGTGATTAAAAGGTGCTCATGTGTGAGTCTTATTTTTCCATTACTTCTATGATATGATAGTATCTAGACTTGGTGATTTGTTAATATCAAGTGTGTTTCCTAAGCATTGGTAGCCCTATTAGCTATAACTGGGAGCTATGTGAATGATCCCCCATCTAATTTCTAAGAGTTATATTTAAATGAAACAAGTTTCTGACCAAATTCCTGACTGTGCATATATCATTAACAATACATAAACATATATTATTAAGTATAGATTATTAACATGAAATACATACCACTCTTTGTGTACTTTTACATATGTCGTTTAAGTAAAGTTTTCCCATATAGCAAGAGCTATAGACTATAACAAACCCCCAACATCAGGCATTAAAAGCCCTCCTTTGAGTTGTTGGTCATAGTTGTCCAAGATACTCTGAAAACATTCTAGGCAATGAATACTGACTGCCCTTATTTGCTTCTCACAGATGAAAGGCTGAGATCCTATAGCTGAAGATACCAAGTGCTTTGCACAAAGGACCCAGAGGATTCTGAGCTGGATCTGACCTGAAAGCTCCTCACTGAGGACTAGATTTCATGGTACCAGAAAGCTCCATACAAGCTTCCAAAGGACCGAAGTAACCAACAGTTCTACTCAGTCTATACCTATGAACCATAGCAACAATCACCATGGCACTGAAACTCTTAAGAGTGCAGTAGTGGCACACATGCCTTGAAGTTAACCAGCAGCTCTCTAATAGGATGTAAGGACAGCTCAAGAAAGGGAAATTGGCCCTGATATTGGAAACTTGGCAAATTACCTAGGGTTATTGAAGTCATAGATCTTGGAAGAGAACCTTACAATCTCCACTTTAATAAACCAGTATAATCCCTAACTAGATTTTAAATATTTATCTTTATGTCCAGAGTCATATGTATGACTATCACCAGCCATCAAGAGAACTTCATTTTGAAACAGATGAAGGTCAATATAGAAGACCACAATGTTGTGAAGATTTATGAAGCCAGGTTGTTATATTTACAACACAACTTCTGCAACTAAGGCTCATGGATCATTTTGAAAGAGGGGGCGGAAAGACTGTAATAACCTGATGATCAGGAAGCTTGCTGTGAAACTGTCTCCTAGAGATGTCAGAGAAGTTACACCTATGAAGTCTCACTAAAGTGGCTACCTAAGCAAAACCTGACCAAGACAGTACCAATAGATACGCTAACTGTGGAAGGGGGAAAGCTGAGGAGGCCTCAATCCTAGACAAAACTACAGGTGACTGAGGAATGTTGAGAGCTGGACAAACAGTCTTCCTCAGAGAAAACTCACCAACCAGTAATCCAATACCAAATGATCAGCCCTGCAAATATACATAAAACAACATGATTCAGACCAATCAGGTTATGTTTATATATTTTGGAATACATATGTATGCACACATGCACACACACATACAAATAACAAAAACTAAAGAAGAAGGGGCCAGGCATTTGAAAGAGAATAAGGGGAGGATGCATAGAAGAGATTGAATGAGGAAAGGGAAGCAGGAAAAATTTAATTATATTACATTACTTAAAAATATTTTGAAAGTGAATGCAAAGTGACAAGCTGCTTAGAGTTACTGCTTTCTCCACTTTCCTGTTGTGACACAATTTATTCTTGAGCACTAATCCAGAAAAACACATTCTTCCCTTTAAAAAGAACACGAATGGAATTATTACAGGTGCCTTTCAAAGAAGAAATATTTTCTTTTATGCAGTCCCATGAAAAGATACTTTGAGTCACTGTAGCTTTACTTGTATGACCTTATTTTCAGTATTCTGTGTGGTGAAAGAACAAATATCTGTATTTTCATTTCAAAATGAAGGAAGAGCCCTTCATGGTTTAGGGGCTTGTCCTACTTGTCAAAATTGGTGATACACATCAGACTTAGAATCTCATCTTCAAACTATGTCAAGAATTCTTCACTATTATGAGTTAACTGAAAAAAATTACCCAACAACAGCCTTTCTCCCATTACATTTACTTCATTATCACCATGGAGTTCATTTAAACAAGGAGCTACCTTACAATGGTCACTGTACTTCCCTGGAGTATAGGTGACAGAGTTGACACATTCTTTTGACTCCTGCTTGGAGCTTGGTGTCCTTCATGATGCTGTCTGTGATTGTGAGTCACTATGTTCCCCAAAGGAGCATAGACTGTAATTCTGCACACGTCAATAGCCAGTGTACACAGACCCAGAGAGCTGAGCAATTGCTTACTTTTCTACCGAGGTTCCCTAAGTGCTCACAAATCCTATGCTTTTGTGTAGAAACCAAGCAATGCAAGGCTTACACCACCAGATCCCAGTGTAGCTTGCGAGGACATTTCTCTACATTTTCACAAACATTTTCTCTACCTCTTCCAGGTCTAGAGGTGAAGGATAGATACTTTCCCTTCTGTTTCTTAATCAGGTAGGCAAAACACCATTAGATTTATATTTGAATCACTACAAAAGACATCAGGAAAGACTTCTGTTCTCCTAGCAAAGGGTGAAGTAAACAAGTTTAAATGAACATACTTTTTTAGCCTGTCTTCATTAGGTAAAAGTTTATTTGAAAAAAATAATTTAGTTGATAATGGTTATCTCTTGTTTTGAACTTTCCGTTTTTCTTTCTATTATTTTTTGCAAGTTGTTTCAGGCAAAGGAACATACATTACATAAATATTTTGCTTGAAAAGATATTTAAATATTGGTTTAAGGAATGCCATAGCTCTTGGAGCTTTCTTATGTATGTGACTCCTCAGTGCAGAGTACATACAGTGTTTCCTTCTCTTTTTTCCTGAGTCAAGTGTTCTGAGTAGGTCATGTAGGCAAGAGTTCTCAAATGTGACTTACAGGCACTGACTTTCTGGACTCCAAGGTTCTGGGAAATGTATCAAAGGACAAGATCCCTGCTGCATCCCCTGGGAACAGTATTTGGCCTGTCCCAGAGTTCTTTAATGTGAAGTACTTTGAAATTGCAGTAATATCTTTAAGACTGCTCTCAACTTTGCCTCTAAATAGTTGGCAAACTTCCACAGAAGCTTTGTGCAACTTCCCAAGATTTACAAAAGCAGGGACGGATGCTGGCCAGTGCTTTCATTTCCCATCATCACCCAGGAGGAAGCCAGGACCTGTTTGGTGAGAAAGAACTCCAGGAAAAACACTTCTCAGGTTCATGTCAACATTTTTAAAATGGGCACCCATAGAACCCAAAAGAATCCCAAGAGCCCAAGTTGCTAAAAGCCATGTTCCAGTTAAGGTGAACCCTATAACTGTGGATCTCTTGGGACACAAAGGGCTGGTTTTATATAGTGGAGTGATTTGATATGCAAGATAGATTCCTGGCTATGATCTCCATGCCTCCCGTTGGTAATCCCCAGGGCAGCTGCAGAGCCAGTGCTCACATGGACATTCTTACAATGAGGTCTTTTGTTGTTCCTGTGCCGAGCTCTGAGAATTCTCATAAATTCCTCTGCAGAGCAGGGTAAGATTTGAATGCGTGGTTCCTCACAGATGGCACCAGCTGTAGCTGCTCTTTTCTATTTTATTTTTTGTTTTAAAAATTTTCTTTGTAGTTTTCACTCAGTTTCCAGCTGCTGATGCACATGGTATTATCAGCAGAGACCAGTTGTTTCCCCCAAGGCACCCCTAGATACAGGCTGACTGAATGATTTATTCTATCTAGTTAATAGAATGTTTTTAAAAGAATCATCATAATTTTATAGCCAGAGGCAAACAACACAATTTCAATGAATTATCCAGGGCTTAAAATGTAAGAGTAAAGTAGCAAGAAAAAGAAGTGATTATTATTTAGCAGTAGCTAAATAGACTGAATTTGAAGGAAAGGGTGATAGTGTGTCTTTTATTAGATCAAATACTGACGGCAACATTCTGGCATGATGGACGTGCCTTCTGCATGAGATGACTATGACATCCTCTCAAAGTACAGTCCCGAGGCTACATGCCAAACATAATAGATGTGACCTTTCAGTACCGTGGCTTCTGGCATGGCACTGGTGTAATCCTAGATCACTCATTTTTCCATTTGGATGTAGCTGAGACTGACAGGGCAGGTGTGAATCCCAAAGTAACTGATTTATAGTCAGCTTTTAGACTCTTTCCTGCTTGCCTCTTCCAAATTAAGCTTGAAAATCTACTTCTCTTTACCACTTCTGTGGATAACCTGGAGACAAGAGTTGTGATATTCCTGATGCTTCTGCTAAGCTGATATAACTTGGAGCATTTATCAGCACTGCTATCAAACGTTACAAGACTAAGCTGCAGCTTCTTCCTACAGCGGACATGAACTGCAGTGAGCAGACAAGCAATGTTTGCAGTGCAACAGACGGCAGCATGGCTGTGGGCACTGCCTCGAGCACTGCAGCGCTTAGGGCTGATTTTATAATTCAGTGACATATTGTTATTGATGCTACCTAGGATGCCTGTCTGCAGAGATGTCCCCAAATCACTCCACACAACACCTAGGACAGGATGGAGAAAGCTTGTTTGGAACTCAATGGCCCACATCTTCCTAGGGTAAAAACCTGGGACAGATATTAGTGAAAATAGAGAGGGAGAGAATCATATTGCCATATTATAAGCAGGAAAAATGCTTAAACCAGTGTAGGTCATATTTCAGGGATAGGTATGTCTTTTCTTGAAACTGGCTTCAAGTTAACCTGAATACTGAACCCACACACTTACACTTGGCCTCATTTTTGTTTTGGACCACCAGAGATTTCTGAACCTTAGCCCTGGTCTTTCAGCCATGACTCTGACCTTGCCTTTTGTTGGATTATGTCACAGCTCTTACTGCTATATGGCTCAAACCCTGCCAGGTCAACCCATCTCTGAGGCCAGGACCCCTTATTCTTTGTGTTCCAGGACCTGTTACTGACTGTAGTTGAGTTCAGACAGCCTAGGCAACTGTTTGCACATGATGTTGAATTTATGCCAAGGAAGAAAACTGTGCACAAGGATCTAAGCCACAGGGGGAAGAAAGCAAGGCAACTTGTGCTAGGAACAGAGGGCATATTGAGTTCTCCAAACAAGCAAGCAAGCAAACAAACAAAAAAAAACAAAACAACAAAACCTCAGGGATCTCTGATCTTTGGCTCTTAAAAGGCATGCGTCAGAGAAGGGGAATAGATCTGAGAGACAAATGGCTTCCAGGGGGAACTTTGCTTTCTGTTTGGTCACCTACACTTGCTCAGGTTACACTAATAATCTTGACAGGGAACTAAGAGAGACAGAGGGATCCTTTTGTGTTCCAGGAAAACCATGTTTAAGGGGAAGTGATTCAGTATCTTTTTTCAATGACAAGACTGGACAGAAACTCATCTTCTGTAGTCACACCTAAATTTCACTTTTTAGTGAAAAAATCCGTTCTAATTTCCAGAAAAGGTGCTAAAATGGAAATGTTGAGACAGTCTTTCATTCTTTAAAAACACCTGCTTCCTTCGACATGCACAGAATAAAAAAGAGCTAATTGCAAGTAGAAGAAGAGAGAGGCAGTTTTAAGTCATTGGGAATAGATTCAAGTTGCCATTTGCAGAGACAATAGAAGAACTGATTGGAGAAAGCAGAGAGATTTGGTTTGCAGTCGGTGTTGAGGGAAGCAGGAGGCAGGAGCACTGCTGCTGCACTGCTGAGGAACACTAACACTGCTTCCCTGACTAGCATGAGGAGAGAAAATGAGCATTCTGAGTAGAAGGCGTGCGGTCAGTCATGGCATCCTGACCCTCAGATCTGTAGTCATGGACACTGACACCCACTCCAGAACCGCTTCCCTCTGACTGAAGTACCAGATAAGTCATCAGAAGAAAATAAAAACTTTAAAGGCGAGTTTGCAGATGACCAAACACATTTTGTGTGGCAATTTCTTTATAGAGGTTTAAATTTCTGTACTTTAAAAAATATGTGTGAAGCTGTTTGAGCTTCTTAAGAGCTCTGGTTGATCTATCAGCTGACCCAAATTCACTTCGCCACCCCATGTCCAGTGTTCTAGGGAATCTGATGGTCTCTTCTAGGACCTAAAAGCAGATGGATTCATTTCCTCACACCTACACAGCCCCAAACACATATACACATAACAAAAAATAAAATAAATCTTTAAAACTAACAAAAAGTTCATAATCTGGACTGGTACGTTGGGTCAAGGGTAATGACACTTGCTGCTAGACCTGATGATTCCAGTGTAACCCACAAGGCCCCACATGGTGGAAGGAGACAAAGCTGTTCTCTGGTCTTCACTTTTGCATCATGGTGAACACGCATGCACACAAGTGTGTACACAAACACAAACACACACACACATTCAATTTTAAAACAAAAATCAAAAGTACGTTTTCAATTTAAGCAATAATAAAACACACCTTATTTTTCATTGTAGCTTAAAACTAAGCATACAGTATGAATCTAGGCATTTTTATCAATGGCAATTGTGATAAATTTCCTTTTCTGGTAAGAAGGATCAAGAGTGTTGGCATGCAGTGGCTTCTTGTAATGCATGGTGCTTCCAGCATTTGACACAATTCTCATGACAACATGTGAACCCACTATAGTGACAATCACTTCTGAGGGTGGGCAAGAATACCTGATATTACATTTCAGGATGAGAGAGATAAAATTTGATTCCATAAAAAGGGACTAAGTCCAACTGTGTCTTTCACCACAGTTAGGAATTTTAAAACCACATTGAACTTTTCCATGCTACACTTGTAAGAATAAAAGCTCTTCCTGAGTTAATCCACAGGATGTGTGGGCCTACAGAAAGATTCCTAACACCTTAATTGTGCGAATAGAAATAAATATTTTAACCTAATTGGACCTCAGTTTCATTACTTGGAGGGATTGTGATGGAGTAAAAGGACTTGGTGAGAATTCTTTTGAGTGCTGATCAGTTAGTTTTCTGGAGATGTTTAAGAAGTGTGTAGACACTGTCTCCATGGGCATTACACTTTACTGTACACTTACAGAAGAAAACAAAAGCAGCTTGCTGAACATTGTGGCCACTTCTCTGAAGGGAATAGCAAGGCTGAAGAAGGCCAACAACTATAGGGGCAGAACAAAGAGGCAACTTACGGAAACAAACGTGGGAGGAGGTGGGGCTGGTGCCAGTGACCTGGCAGAGGAGAGGTTTCTCCTACCTTGGACCCTCCTTCTTTATAACACCCCATGGCTAGCTCCTCTCATCTTTCAGATTTTAGGTCCGATGACATTCCTCCAAAAATCTTATTGACCTCATTGTCTCTCCATTTTTTTCCAGTTATTCCCTATCTGTTACTTCAATTTGTTCCATCAGACCATCTTATGATTGTTAAAATAATCTAGATTTCTTTTTGCAACTTCTTTATTTTGTGTTTTTTCTTTTGGAAAAGAAGATTAAACTTTTATGTATTTTATCCACTTACATGGCTTTAAAAATAAAGAAATGAAACGATGTAAAGATCTGTAGGATGAAAAGAACATTGAATATTAAGCATTGTGAGGTGCTGTGATTTGCAGTGGCTCCTCCTGAATCCTGTCCCCTGGGCTTTACTATACCAACTACTTCTAATGTTGACTCTGGAGTTGGCTAATGGGACAGCAGCAAACCACGCAGTGCAGGCTTGGTAAGTACTTGCTTAGAACAAAGGAAACATGTGAGGGAACCTGTCCTAGTTCCATCTCTTCTCAATATGAAATACTGCTAGGAGATCAAGCATCCCAGACATGTACGAAAAGCTTAGAATTTTCCCTTCCTCCAAGATCTTCTACTAAAGTTTAGCTACGTAAGTAAGCCCAGTTAAAACCAGGGGAGTGATCCCCTCACCTTACAAAAATATGATGAAAACATTTGTTGCCACGTAAGATGATGAGGTTTCAGGTGATGTAGTTCTTGCAGAAGAACTGGAAAGGGGCTAAGACAGGGAAGAGGGGAAAGAAGAGAGTTCAGGGTTCAGAGAAGTCAATCGGAATCTTGCCCATGCAAACTCATTTTATACTACACATGATGGGAAACGATTAGCAGATTTAAAGGGAAAATGATCAGGATCAAAGAAGCCAGTTAGGAGACTATTTTAACCACCTGTTGCTACTGGACTAATGGAATATGAGAGAAGATCCCAGCACCAAGCTCTAGGATCAGGACTTTAATGACTTTAGAGAATCTCCAATGTCCTTTCTAGAAACATTCTTTCGGGAGCCTAAGCCTCCATTTTAAATTTTAATGGCTTCTGGTGATTTAACCCATGTCTGTACATGTTAGATAAGTGCTCTACCACTGGTATACATCTCCAGTCATCAAAGCTTCATTTAGAAAACTGGACACTATGCTCGGGAGAACATAAGGAGAGGTAGAACAGCAGATCCCACACAATTTTAGAATAGGAGGCACATTCATCTCACTATGGAAAGAGACCGAATTGTCACCTAGGGCCCCAGATATAATCTCTGAATAAGTAATACAGTACAATTATACATGTCCCTTTACAGATCAGAAAAGTGAACTCAAGATGAACCACTGACATATATTCAAGGACTAACAAAGAAAAGGGTGACAGACTAATTTAGACTGCCTAATTGGGGAACAGAATATGATCAATGTAAGAGACTGGACAGCTCTGGATTGAAAATATGTGAGAATGTTCGTGATTATGGGACATACATGATATCAAATATGATATTAGAGTCAAAAAAGCAAATGAGAGGAAAGAAATGTCTACTATTAGAATGCACCTCAGCCACTTCTGTGCTATATCCTACCCCAAGAAATGTTACCTTCTGTGATAATCATAACCAAATGTACATCCGAAAAATGAGACCTCCCTAGTCTACTTTCTATACTTACTGTTTCTTGATTTACTTTAACGAAAAAAACTTAATTTATTTTATATTGTAGTTTATGGCTCTTTATGTGTTTTAAGTATCAACCAGTAGCAAAATGAAGAAATATATTGTGGCATAGTTGTATTGTTGAGTATGAACAGAATCATCTGTATCAACATAGAAAATCCACAAAATGTATTAAATAAGCAAAGAAAATTACACTGGATAAATGTATATTCTATAATACTAATTGCATGAAGTTTAAAAAATCTTAGCAATAAACAGACAGCTTATACATCCTTATTGTGCAGCAACCACACAAACAATGCACTTGAGCAATTAGCCACCAAGTAAAGACTGCAATGACTCCCTCTATATGCAAAAAATAGAAAGAATATGGAAGACTCTCACAGACTTTACCCTAGCTGGAAATGACACCCTCCCATGACAATTATAGGCCACAACTGAAAGAAAGTCCACATGGAAGAGAAATATTTCAAAGGCCTAACAAGAACATCAGTGGAGAGAACATGTCCAGAGTTCTTTCTGAGTGCATGAACATTCTGAATGATTTTCTGAGCCAGCTGAGTGAAGACCTGTGGGACAGGGTGTGAGGATAATCTGGTTTACAGGCTGATGCTATCAATCAATGACTTCACTGGGTAGACAAGGCCTAGGGAATTCAAGGAACATTTAAAAATTGAACAGTTTAGGTCAGTTAACTCATACTAAACATAAGATTCCATGAAATGCAAATGATCATTAGCAGGACCTTTCTTATTTTACATGGTGGAGAAAATTGAGAAAAAGAAGATGCCAAGTCTAAACATCAAAGAGTGTTGTCATGGAGCTAGGATAGAAGAAGGAAAGGAAGCTGAAGAAAGAGACTGACGTTATCTAGTCATCTTATTTTCTTTATGTGTTTAAGAATCTGAGAGAAGCAGGTACAATGGAATGTCGCACGCTTGTGGACAGCCTGATGGACAGCAAGGTCTTTTCAGAGGCACATAGTCTGTTCATCATCTGAACTCCTTGGGGTAGTCTGGGCACACATATACTTTGAAAACTGAGTTCTATCTGGTTACAACCTTTTTGTTGGTCTTGGACATGATACACTAATGAGGAGACCAAAGTCTTTGGAGGAACATGGAGAACGAATGCTGGTATTTTATGCAGATTGTGTTTCCTCATATCATTTGGTGGAAAGAAATTAAGTAAGCAAACAGAAAGTACAAAGGTACAGGAAGCATCACTTGAGTCCTAATAAATACTTGTCAGTCTTCTCCAGTTCTCTAAATCCTTCCTGAAAGATAAATCATGAGATTTTCACCCTTTTACTTCCATTAGTCCTACTTATTTGACATATTCACTAACTTTTCCTATTTAATAGAAAATCAAGCTCAGATATACTTTGTTCATAAGGTGATAAAATAATAAGCATATGCGAATATGAAATAAAGACAGTACTGATCTTTATTTATTAATCTACAAAGTAATCAAAATTGTTCTGATCACTCAGCATTGCACTTCAAAGCAATAAAAGTAGAAAACAGGCAAGTTGCTTCAACAAAGTGTAAAATGCAAGGTCTGGCTCCCATCCCCCTACGTTTTCTCTCGATTTTACTTTTGTAAATGACATTCATAGCATTCTTCTTTCTTGAAAAAGAAATCTCATTTTTTTTGAATATTTTGTTTCACAAAACCTACATATCTAAGAGCCAGCAAGCTCAGTGGCTTAAACCCATCTCCTTTTCATTACCTTCTACCTCTGTCATATCCCTTCTGCAGATCCATCTGACTCTGGGTAGATGTTCAGGAAGAATATGTGTCATGCAAAAGATAATGGAATCTTCAGAAGAGACATTTGTCTGTCTCAAAGGAAGATAAAACTTTCCACAGAAGACTTGTGTGCAAGGGAAGTGCAAGGTGAGGTAGATGCTCATAACCACTGTGATTTTGGTCCAAGGTGAGAAAGGTCTGAACTTGTGAGTTTTGTCCATGGAGAACAGATCATGACAGAAACTAGTTATGGCTCATGGTTAGTGGCATCCAATGATGATGATCTCTCTGAATTAAAGAAGGCAAGTCTGGGCATTTAGAGTAACTTGTGACCATCAAGCAATGATCTCACAACAAAAGAAAATAAGGAAAAAATAGATAAGAGACAGTATATAAAACATGTTGAAGGATCAGTGAAACTCCGTGGGGCTTTTGTGTGAACGTCCATTCAGGTTATACTTGTTCCTTTCTTCTGTAACCCACGCTGAACGTGCTGCTTCTTCAGCTATCATCACCTTGGTGTTTGTGTAGGTCCCACAGTACCTCTCCCTGTGTAGGAAATCTACAGCTGTGTGGCCAGAAGTTCTTGGCAAATCATACAGAAATAAGGGAGTAACATATTACTAAAATTTCAGCAGTGTTAAAAGAACACAAAATCTTTCTCTTGACATTTCTGGAAATCTCAGATCTGAAATGCACCCTAACAGGCCCAGCTTCATATGATGGTAGGGCTGTATTATTTCAAAGGCCCTAGACAGGAATGCTTTTTCAGCTTTTAGAAGTTGTCTGCATTTTACTACTCCAGATTCAAATCCAGCAGCATAGAATCTTCTCTCTCTCTCTACTCTTTACCTTCTTATAAAGAATCTTCTTACCTTGGTGACCTTAAATTTAACTACATTATAAAGTTCCATCTTCCATGAGAGTTATCATATTTGAAGGTTCTGGGAATTCCCCTGAGGACATCTTTGGGGCCACTAAGGAGCAAAGATTTTGAAGGATATATAAAACTATGATAGAGATTGGAGGTGGGAATAGATAGGATATCCTTTTGAAAATAAACCAAAGAGGGGACAAGAGTTTAAAATGTTTGGATAGTATATTTAGGATATGATACTCAAAGGAATTAGCTGAATTTTGTATGAAAAAGGCCTAGATATTTTACTCTAATACATGGAGATAAGACTGAGGGCTTGATTCAACAGTAGTATGTTCTAGAATATGAAAGGCCCTGGGTTCAACCCTGTCAACCAACCACTTGACTACCTTAATGGTTAAATGTAATGTGAGTATAATTGTGAGAAGTAATTGAGAATTGGGATAAAATGATGACCAAACAATTTTATTTCCACCATGAATAGGATTCTGATACTTTTCAAGTGATTATAGTTGGTGTAACATGTCTATTCATTACTTTATAATATATTTAAGGCAGCTAATATGTCATACTACTTGAGGAAAATATCAGTGCTAATGTCAGCAACTGAAGCCTAAGAAATGACTAAGAACTGAAAATGTTTGTTTTGTCAAAATCATTGCCAATAAAACCATTCATGTGGACTATCCACCTTAATCCCTCTGCAACACAATAGCACAGAGGTGAGTCAGTTTGATTTTGTTTCGAGTTTTATTTTATAGGGGCTATTATGACTGCAGAGATTTGCTTAGTCACCAGGGTCACTATTCTGTCACAAATCCATCACTACAATTTGCAGATACAAAAAAGGAAACGCCCCACTCCCCTAAACACTTGTTTCATTCAGGGCAGAGATTCACTACTAATGAGAAAAACTCGAGTTTTCAAGGTTAATTTCAACATAAACCTTTGTCTGTCCTTCTAAGTCCTGGGGAATCATGAACTGCAGAGGAGCAGAGTAAATATCTGTTCACATGGCTTAAGAGTGATGCCAAGAGCACCACCAGCCAATCATTATAAAACACGCAGAATCACATTCAAAGGGCATCTGTAAAAATGTCTTTAAGGTCTACTCGGTCTTTCTGTGTAAAGGTCAGCATGAGAGAAGTGACTTGTCTGTACTCAGTCCTCCTATCTCCAAGGGGATATGTGATTCTTCCCTTCAGCCTTTGTCTTCTCTATGAATGGGATCACCGTGATGGAGATCTAGATCCTGACTCACTGTCTTGGTGTTCCCTGTCTTCTTCCTCTTTTTTGGCTCCCAAACGTGAAGACTGTCAACTTTATCTTCACAGGCCCTCTGGAAAAGTGCTCCCTTCACTTTTCACTGTTGACATTGCCACTTACCTGATGTTAAGTGTTAAATTCACAACCTAACTGGCCATGCTGCCTGCTGAGCCTTTGTTCTTTCTTAACAGGTTCAAGTCCTACTGAGAATAGTCATCCCGAATCTCAATTCTAATTACCACATTAGCGGTTTTCTTGCAAAAATGGAAAACAGCATCTCTGATGCTTAAATCCATTAAATATCTAGGCCTTAAATCCATTCTTATAGAATACTTTGGGAGTTCCTTTCTATGCTTTAATTTTTAGTAAAACATGACTTTCTGTCATCTCTAAATCTAGTCTGCATGCTTCCTGCCACCTTCAGGCTTTGCTACACATTTTACTCTTGTGTAAACTTCCATTTTAAACACATATTCACATAGGAAAACCCAAGAACCTCTGACATAGCAGGTACAGTATTGCCCTATTATCTATGAGGTACTTCCACGATCCTCTAAAAACACATGCCCAAAAACACATGAATGGCACAAAAATCTGTAAATACTGTTTCCTCCTATAATATGTGCATTTATGATATATTTACAGCTTACACGAAACATGAAGTTACACTAGGCATGAAGTTAGTAAAAATCTAATAACAAACTAAAATTTCAAGTTTTCATAAAATTATGCAGATACTTACTGTACTTTCCTCATTAATTTTCCTCCTTGAGGTGATATATATGATAGAGTATCTATGTGATGTGCTGTTCTGTGAGCTTAGGTCACTACGCTAGAAATACTTGAGGACAAGTCTTGCAATTCCAAATAGCCAATTTGATACCAAGAAGCCTACTAAATGGATTATGTAAACATGGATACACACAGACCACAGGGTGAGTCCCATTCCAGAAAGAATGACAAGAGTTTTTGTTTTTTACAAAAAAAAACAAGAGTTTTTGTTTATTACAACACTGAAAAGAACGTGTGACTTAAAACTTATCAACTATTAATTTCTGCAAATTTCTATTTAATACTCTGGGACTGCAATTGGCCACAGGTAACTGAAACAGTTAGAGGAAGAGCTGATGAGGGAACCATACGGTATTTGCTTAGTGAAGGTGTTCATGAAATTTATACTGTCTTGAACTGAAAGACGTTGCCACATTGTCACTGGATTTGTTTTATATCTTTTTGACACTTTTCTCATTGAAACCATAATTACATCCATGCATGCACTTCTCTCTCCTACTCATAGCAAGGTTTTTGAGGTTAGAAGGTGACTCTTATCACTCTTACATATTTTTCATTATTCTTCATTTATACGCTGTGTTAGCATGAATGAAACAATAATTTTTTTCATTTATTTCATGGGAAATTAGTGAAATAAGAACAAATCATTTAAGCCCACTCAAGAATAAGAATTCTAGAATAGTGGATTATTCAGGTGAATAAGATGGTACGTGAATACAGCAAGCCAAGAAAAAACTCATCTCTGGAAAACAGCATCTTAATACTCCATTTTCAGGAAAAACATAGCATCTCACAGCCTAAGACTCAGTCTAATCTTAGAACCAGAAATCTGAAACCTCCTCTCTGGAGAATAAATAAGTTTCAGTTTTTAAACTGTCACAGAGCTGAGGGTATCAAATTAGCCCAAACATTAGCCACTCTCAAGAGCCAGCAAAGAGGCATGTGGAGAGAGGTGCTGTGCTTGGGACTAGTACTTGCTCTCCAATCATGATATTGGCAGCAACAACTGTTCATGTCTCTGAAGGCAGCTCTTGCTCTCCCCAGTCAGACAAGAGAGGGATGTGACACGCTAAGAGCTATCAGATGAACTGGGGAGGTGGGCAGTCATCTGGGTAGGGCATCAGAAGAGGACTCCACTCTCCTCTGGAAATAATGTTGAAAGGGTATAGAGCAAGGTCTATAAATAGGCCAGGAAATTTCAGATCAAATTATAATATTGAATAGAGAGATGATATTGCATCTTTATGAAAAAAGGGGAGGTCTTCATAAAAGGTAAATTTTCAGGTGCTACATTTCAGAGAACTATGAACAAATTATAGGCACATAAATCTACAAGGAGCTAGGTTGAGCTCACATAAGAGATGATGAAAGGTGAGATTACATGATGCTGAAATGTTGCCTGACCTGATAAACCTCTGAGATTTAAGAAAGAGAACCTTGTCTGACTGCACTGAGCCTCACTAGCTTTATTATGGGAAAAGGAATTTCTCACATTGCAGGCAGGGGAAACCAAATATGGTCTTCACGCAGCATCATCCTGTACATCTTACACAGGGCTTCCAAAGACTCCTTTAGAGAACTGGGAGATTGCTTTGTGTATTTTGCTTGTATTTTATTATAGATAAATTTGTAGAAAGTTGACGTATTTTAAGCATTATTTTAAATTCATCATCTCTTTGATTTTAGTATCATATTATTAATTTGTTTCTAAACAGAGGGTGAAGAACTAAAACCATACAGTTGAGAATGACTAAGATATTGGGAAAGATGGCAGCTTAATTCTACACCCACTGACTTCTCCTGGTCAGTATTACACTCAAAAGATTCAGACAGTAGAATAACAAAATCAGTGAACCTCTGAGATACAGTCTCAATACCAAACAGGTGTGCACCTCATTGTTTGAGACTCAGGAAGAAGGCAGGAGCTCCTCGATCGGTGTAGAGCTAATCTATTAGTTTTGGTTGCAACTCTAAGCCCCAATTTCCTGAGTGGGTCCAAACACTTAAACCAAGACTATCCTTCAGTCTGGGAAAATTCACCTCTCAGTTTCTAGTGAGAACACCCTGGAGAGGAACTGTGACTCTGAGTTGAACTGCTGTTTGACCACATACTTGAGAACTGGAAGAGCCCACTATATCCTTCCTTATCAGTAACATCAGGGTATTAGTCTCTTTCCCACAGACTCATGGAGGTCTTTTGACTCTTTGGTGAAATTTTTCAATGGTAATAACGGGAGAAAAGATGACCTGAAGGAACAGTGTGTCAGAAAATGCAAAATGAAACCCTGGGAGACACAGAGATGGAGAAACAAGGAAATTGATACGTTTTTATGTAGAACTATAAAGCGCACAAACAGTTACTTTATAGACTATTTATAAATTATGAATTGACATAGAGTAGGACCTTACACTTCATTTTTACAAACCCACTAAGAACTTAAAAGGAGTAAATAGAGATAAATATGTCAGAATGCTAACTGAAAAGCAGGCGTTCAAAAATCTAATAGGGAGTGGATGATATAAGGTAACTGCGTTTCTGCTACTTTATCTGTTAAGGGTTAGTTTCTGAACAGTGACATACAACGATCCTGATTTTGTATATGAAGTTTTATGCACATACAAGCTTATGCACTCAGTGACATGAGAGTTCATTTATTTCATTCATATCTGATTTATTTGGTGATTATAATGAACACAGACTTAAAATATTTATTTTTCTCAAAAGTCATATTTAAAAACATAAGAGAAAAATAGGTTTCTATAGTTTTTTTTAACCTACTGACAGTTCAGATGCTATGCAATTTTAAAATACTATTTTGCTGTCTCATAGAAGCAAAAAATTCTCCTAACCAGGTAAACACACGGAGAAGACATTTTATTTTATTGTTTTTGCATGATTATGATATTCTTGGGAGATGAATGAGTACTTGTTTGGAGAAAAATCTGAGGTTTGGAGAAACCAAGGGATCAGTAAACTGAACTCCATGGCATAAGAAATTAAGTGATTGGGAAAGAAAATCTCAGGGTAATCTTTGGGGAATGATACTCTTTACCACATGCCTTTCAACCACTGCTTCCGAGACAGCAGTATGCATTAGAACCATCTGCAATGTTGTGAAAGGTTACTGCCCTACTTTACCACCATTGTAAATAGGTCTGGGTGAAAGCTGGGATGGTATACTCGTTCTTAGTATCCAAGTGAAGTTGGTGATGTTGGCATAAGGACTGTACTTACATAACCATTGCTTTATTTTTTTTATTCCTTTTCTCAAAAATGGCTGAAATTTCTAGAAGTGAGTCTCATTGACAGACAGTTTTCTATTGTAAATATGATCCCAAAGATAAGTGTTCAAGACATGAGGCTCCAGGTTTGTCACTATCATCTGCCCACAGGGCTTCTCTCTCAGAAACTAAATCTGCCCTTCTATGTGGACCACTACCATCCCCTGGAGTGAGCTTCATAGAAAGGATCTTTTGGGTCTTAAGGTGTCTACAAGAAGGCTCAGCAAAGTTTTTCTTTCAGTTTGGGTTTGTTACTAACCTAAGAATATTTCTAAGCAAAGTAACCTCCCCCACGCCACCCCCATGGCCTCAAACCCTAGTCTTTGAGCTTTTTCCATCTCATTATATTGTACAACATAATTGCATGGCCACTGTAGATATACTTTCAAACTGTATGTTTACTTTGTAAAAGTGATTGCTTTAGGAAAACCAGAGGTCAGAATTGCAGTTGGGTGACAGATCTAAGAAAATGAGGCTTTGCTCTCATTGCTCCTTCCTTGTATCAGATTTCCTCTTGCTTGTTCCGAGCTCACTGTTTTCTATGCCATCGCTGGGCAGTTCTACTCTGGGGAGTATCTAGCTTGCCTTGGATGTATCTGAGTCTTGTTCCCAAACTAAACCTTCCTGAATTTGAATATTTAACCATCTTGATACAAATTTACAGCGGTTGTTAAAGGGAACATAGCTAAAAAAATTCTTCCAATTTAATCAGTGATTTACATGAAAATTTTAAGTTCAAAAACAATTACGTAGGGGAATACATTTTCCTCAGTGGGCTGTCTCAATCATTTACAGTCCAGGAAGAGAGAGAGAGAGAGAGAGAGAGAGAGAGAGAGAGAATTGGAGCAGTTCCCCAGTGTCTCTCACATCACAGCACATCAGCTTAAGATGAGGTGAAGATTGTGTTTGTGAGGATGCAAGCAATGTTCTCCTTTGAAAGACCCCAAGAAATCCCTAAGAAGGAGGTGAATGTGATCTTACACTGTAAAATGCATCCTTACATTGTTGCCCCAAGAGCTGGACCCATGCTAACCTATTTTCTACAGACTAGTAGTAACATTTAATTATGGCTAAGAAATCCTTTGGTTCTAGCTCTGTAAGTAGAGAGCAGAATAAAAGTTCAACAAATTGCCAAGTATAGTATGGGAAAGTTAAGTTCTGGGGCTCTGTGGCTAGATCAGGGGTAGGAGTCTAGCAGACCAGTTCTTACAGAGAAATAACAGGGTACCACTCATTTATAATCAGGACTTGAAGTGACAGTGTGGGGGATGGATGACGTACTAGCTGCCTGAATTTGTTATGTTTTTTTTATAAAACAAGCTATCTTATCTATACAGGCTATAATTCATAAGCCAATCAGGTTTTGTTTTTCTTATATTTCTTATAGAAATGTCTGTCATGTGGCAGTTTGGGAAGATGAGAAATAACCCCCCTTACCCCTCGCCCTTACCACCTGTAAGAGATGAGAGGCTACCCCCAGACCAGCTGCAGCACTCAGGAAACAGGCCCTACCCCTCACCTAGCCAGCACAGCAGACATGCCCAGTGGTCTGAGGTAAGCATCACCCAGTCATAAAGTTACAAGCAAAGGAGAGCTGCACCCCCATTACTCATCAGACACGTGGTAGTATGAACAGAGGAGAGGTGCCCTCTCCCCAACCTCCCACCCATCAACACTAGAAACAGGTGGAGAGCTGGTCCTGGGGTCATAAGAGAAGGAGGGCTGTCCCTATCCCTCACCAGCTGTAGCACTTCGAATTGTGGCACCTGTACCTCACCTGGACTACACAACAGAGCTGACCCTAAAGGTGTAGGTGTGGGAGAGCTGAATATGAGGGTGAGAAAAAAGAATCTGCTCCACTTCTTGCTCATTGTTGTAAGAGGTGAATTAGCTGGGGCAATGCTGGAGAGCTCACTCTGGTGGTGAAGACAGAAGAGAGCTGGTTGGTGGACCAACTCTACAGCACCCAGACCCAGAACCAGGATTATGTCTTGGCCTGCCCCAATATGCTTCCTTTCTATGATGTGCTGGAGCACGTGAAGGAATCTGACCTGCAGAACCAAAGCTGAAGGATATCTACAACACAGGGCAACAACAGGATATCCAAGAATTACCCTAGTGAAAGCCCCACATCGATGGTGCAATAGAAATCAGAGGCCTCGAACTAAACCAATGACTCTTTGCAATGAACACTTGCAAGTAAAGATGTATGGATAAAGTATGCAAGACTTACTGCGTCATACTACTGCTTTCATTATGATATTTTAAATTTATTCTTTTCGTTTTTTCTCTGAAATTTTGTTTTGTTTCTGGGGGTACAGGGGCAGAGGGTGGCTACGAAGGGATGGTGAAATGAATGGATCAAAATGCATGATGTAGAAGACAAAAATAATAAAAATATATACATAAAAATGTTTATATTGATTCTCTTGACTTTGGAAAATCCAAGACCATCTTAATTTGGTAATGAAAATCATGGCTATTAGCTTTGTTCAGACTGCATGAGCTATTTGGGGATAAGAATAGAAGTGACCATGACCATCAGGGGACAGTAAGTCAGGGGAAGTCACACCAAGACTCTAGACTCAGAAATTATCTTTAGTAGGACTAAAACTTTCACATTCTTGAAAATACGATTTCAAGGCAGTGTTCTATTTCAGCTTTGTAAATGAAAGGATCTGGAGCCCCTTCCATCACCTTTGGCAGCTGCTTCAGACAGGAAGTAAAATATTCTGCCTCACTTATAGAAGCAAAGAACTCAATTACAACTGTCCAGTTTACCTTTCTGTCTTGACCTAGGAAAGTAGGAGAGATTTTTATTCATATAGACTAACTGGAAAGTAACCTCAATTTCCAGGAAATGACAATTACTGTCAACATTTATGACAACTGGGCTGGTGAGATGGCTTAGTGGGTAAACGTAGCTGCCACCAAGCCTTGACAACCTGAGTTTGATTCCTCATGTGTACACCCCACACAAACACACAGAAAATAAATACATGCAAAAATATAAATGAATGATAGTTTTCACTACTATATATAAGAATACATTGTCACTCATTTGCTTTCTTACTTTTCTCAGCTAATATTTGTTTTTATTATTTTCTTAAATGATTTTAACCTGACCTACATGGAAAATATATAATTTCAAACTTTTATTATCATATAAAAACACAAAGACAGATTAAAGTATAAATGAAATACAAATAAAAACCTCTGTTGTGTTCATGTAGATCTACGATTGTTAAATTTATGTTTTCCTTATTAATTGAGGTACTTTGGGAACTTTCATTTGAGGTCATAGTTCTATCATCTTTGCATGCCTGGATCTAGATCCATCTAGAATGAAAGCAGTTTTGAGACATTGAAGGCTTCCATGTCACCTGTACTAGCATCCCAAGTCACCAGACTCTGTGGCACTGCTCAGGTAGATTTTGCCCACTGCAAATATTTGTCTAGAGCCACACCCACAGAGATACTGCAATTTATAACTTTATGAGAAAAATAAAATCATTTTCTGAGCACAGTGAAGCTGTTTTAAGGAATGAGAACAATAAAGGTTTTAACATTGATACAGATCTCATTGCATTCAGTGGGTTATGGAGCAGTAAGGCTCTTATATTGACCTTTGGTTCCTCTTAATGAGAAGTGCCTCAGGGATCACTATGGTCAAAACAGTTTGCCCAGGGTTTCAGAGATTATTTTGTGTACCAAAGCAGAAAAAAAATACTGACTGTATGTTAGACGATGAGTTATTGATTAGAAAATCATGCAAGAAAGAGATGTGAAAACAAGTAAAAGTGAAAGGCAGGTTGAGGTGTGATTCCACTCTGTATGCTGTATGTTTTATTACCATTGGTTAATACAAAAGTGGCTTTGGACCTGTGGCAGTGCAGAATGGGGCTAGGCAGGAAAACTAAAATGAATTCTGGGAGAAAGAAGACAGAGTCAGGGAGACACCATGTAGTTGCTGAAGGAGGAAGATACCCTGAAACCTTACCAGTAAAATATTAAATAGTATAAATGGGTTAATTTAAGATATAATAGTTAGCTATCAATATGCCTAAATGATTGGTTGGTCAATCAGTGTTGTAATTAACACAGTTCTGTGTGATTAATTAATGTATGAGCTGCTGGGAATGAAGAAGTGGCCTCTGTCTACAGCATATCTTTCTAAGCATGGACTAACAGCTTTGCAAGCACTCTTTCAAAAGACCTTCAAGAGAAGCCTAAAGACACATCTGCTATTTTCCTTGTTTTAAAAGACCAAAAAAGAACACAGGAAGTAGAGTTAATTGTGATTGACTTTTTTTTCCCACAGTAGAACTTCAGTGTCCACGGGAATCCAATGAATGAAGAGGATTATTTTGAGTGGTTATCTTTAAAGTACATCTGCCTGCAATTATAGTTATTAAGCAAACAAACAAATGCATTCTGGAAAATAAAAGATGTTGTCTATGATGTGGAAACAAAAAATCCCATTCATTCAAGCAGGGATAAAATGGTATAGCCATAATGTAAATTGAAAGGCAATTCCTTACAAAATTTTAATACAATATTATCACCTTGTAGTTGCCATTCTACTTTTGGAAATGTACCTAAAATAAGTGAGAGTGGAGACTTGAGATATTGGTGCACCCACACCCATAGCACAGTGAAACAATGGCGTGACTGTTGTCACATACATGGGTGAGTGAAGGCATTTAAAAGAGTAAAATTACTTTAGCATAGGCTAAGTAAAATAAGCCAGACCCCAAAGGACAAACACTGACACTGCTCACATGAAGAGTAAGAATAATCACATCCACAGAAACAGAAGCAGAGAGTCATCACCAGAGTCTGGGGAAAGTGATTTTCTGGGTAGAAAGTTTCTGTTGGCAAAGTGAAGAAGAATCATGGTGACTGTCACACAGTAATGTGGTTGTCCTTCATGACACAAAAATGTTTAGCTGGATATGTTTCACAAGTATCAAAACCAAAATAAAAATCAGTATCTGTGAACCATATAAATTAAAGCTAGATAAATATCATTCTTAACTAGGCTTCTTTTATCAGGATCTTGGCAATGTTTGTAGAATTCCATCTGACACAGAAAATACAACAGTTGGTAGATGGTAGACAATCTGGAATGATAATAACTTTGACTGTCTCTGGGTATATTTTATAAATTTGATAGAAGCATATACGACTATAAATGCATGTGTAGGGCCCTCTAGGACTACGTTTGTAGACCAATTAAACAGTCCTCATGCTTAAACAGTGTATTCAAAATAACAGCATCCTGCAGAAGTCTGTTTGCTTTTGGCATGCCATTGTTCTACCTTAAATAATCATGAAAAATTGAGGTAAGGCAAGGAGGAACAGTAATTAGACAGAAAGGAACACAGGCAGCTGTGCCGAAGAGGCTGGAAAGTTAGCACTCATCTTGCTCACTCTGAGCTTCATTGAAAGGCATAGTCTTGTTTGATGCTTTTATTACCACTTTCAGAAAGTTAACACAGTCTCCTCTGCCTCCCAGCACAGGAACTTCTGTGCCTGGCCCATCTGCCTACACTGACCAGTGCTGCCACAAAAGATTTATTTCTATCTCCCTCCATTCCTTCCTCCTTTTCTTGTCCTCCCTTCTTTACTTTCTTCTTTTTTCTTTTTTCCTTCTTTCTTACTTTTTTCTTCTGAAGAGAATATTTGCAACAAATGTTCTGAGCAAATAGAAAAATTAAACTAGACATTGTCAGGGATAGACCTGAAAATAAAATAGGATGTTAGAGAGATGGCTCAGTGGTTAATAACACTTATTTTTACAGAGGACCAAGGTTTGATTCCCAGTACCCACAAGTTGGCTTATAACTGTCCATAATTCAGTTTCAGGTGATCTAAGGTCCTCTATGAGGATCAGGCATATATACAAACATATATACATACATACAGGCAAATCTTCACATATATAAAATAAATCTAAAATATCAAAAGAGGTCAAAATATTTTCATGGAAATCTTACATGCTCTAAATGAGCACCCATGTTCTCTCTGAAAGAGTAGGAAGAATGCTCAGGCAAGATGCAGGTTCTAAGATTGACTGAGAGGCCCTGTGGAGTCTTTGCAGAACTATTGTGCAGGCACATACAAAACCAAACTTCAAAGCAGGATGGTAGCAGGCAGTTAGCTGCAGAGCAGTGAACTTGGTGAACTGAATGTACATTTACATAATACTGTAAAATAAAACATCCATAGGATAGTGTTTATTATGCAGGAAATGGTCAATAAAATATGATTGCTATACCTGTTTGAAAGATATAAAAAGCTTATAGAGTCCAGTAATAAAAAAATAAATTAGTCAAATTTAAGTGTATTAGAATGTAAATAGATTTGCATTGACCAGGTCAGAGTGTGACTTAAAAATTGGGTAAATGTCTACAAGATGTGTAAAGTTGTTACCACATGCTGATCTTTGTCTCAGGCCAGTCACCTTGTACATTCATGGTCTCAGCTAGGTCTCTGATCCTCTCTAAGATGTTTTATTGACACTTCATCCTGAGTCATGATTCTCAGTACAGTAACCTCAACTTTAGGGTCATAAGTCCCTTCCCTTCATTTGAGTAAGTGACTTTACAATCCTAGAAGAAGGAATAGATGCCTAAAAAGTGTTAAATTCATAGAATTTGTGTTAGTGTTAAACTCAAGAATTTAATGTTTATAATCATTAAAGTAAGCTATTTCAGTTTTTGAAAGCCTGGCATATAATAAAAGAACTTAACATGTTAGAAAATTAGATGAATGAGAGCCAGTGAGTTGGCTTAACAGGTTAAGGAACTTGCCTATAAGCTCTGAGGACCTGATTTTGATAATACACAGGAGGACCCTCATCACATAATACCTTTAAGTTATCCTTTGACCTCCACATATGTGCCATGGCTCCACTCTTTGTATACATAATATAAAAATAAAAGCAATTTGAAAAAAAATAGATTCACAAACTATATAATTTTAGGTTTTAAGAAGCAATATTTTTTTGGCCTGGAGACTCTAGGATAAGGAACATACTGATCTTGTTTTCTTTTGACTTTTTGACACAAGGCCTCACTCTGTATTCTAGGCTAGCTTTGAACTTGAACTTCTGCCTCAGCTTCCTGAATGTTAGAATCATGTAAGTGCTTCGTCATCTGAAATTGGTCTATTTTTACCAACATTGCCTTAACTGTTATTCCTTTGCCTATTTCAAGGTTGTGAAATATTAACTTGCAAAACATTTGGGATGCTTAAAAGATTATGATAGACTAAGTTTGTAATTTTTGTAGGATATAGTATTTAAAGAAACAATCAAACCTATTTATAACATAGATTAGGGAAATGAATGTTGAAATAATCCAAGAATTGGTGTAACTAATCAATCATATCCCTACCCCAAATTTCAATATTTATTAAGACTTACTTGTTAAACATAAAGCTTTGGAAAGGCTTGAGTTTAAACTTTGTAACTTTAATATATTGAGAAACAGGTAGCACTCTGTTTATAAGATCTTTTTAATGGTTAGGTTCATAAGAATATGTGTCTAGGTGAAAGATAGTTCCCCCCATGTTACTTACA